GTCTTTCGAGATGTAATCATTACTTTTTATTTCAAAAGTGTCCCTATTAATAGTGATTTTAAATTTATTATATGTTATTTAATATGGGTAAATATAAAAATATAGGGTTCGTTTGAAAGTAAGTAACTATTTTATTGGGAGTGAGATTCAATTAAAAATATTTTATATTTTTGAACGGAGGGAGTAATTAATTTTGAAATATAGAAATAATTTTATTAGATTAAAAAGGCAAGTCAATTTAGTAGGCATGTGAGAATTATTTATCAGTGAATTACTTAATTAGCAGAACAAATTCCATATAATGAAATTATTAATTAATTAAGTGAAATAATAACATAAACGGCTTACAAAGTTGAAAATAACATTAACGGCTAGTAAAAAATTTTAACTCAAGAACTCATTAAAAAAAACTCAAAAAAAGAAAAACGGCTAGTAAAAATTAAAGAAGTTAAGAGGAAGAGCCGATGAGGGAATCAGGAAAAGGCTTATAGCCGTTAGATACATCGGTCATCCAACGGCATAGATGCGATAAAGAATTGACCGTTGGAGCTGGTGTCCGCTCGACTCCAAGTGACACACCCTTTTGGTATATAACAATCCTCTGAATGCAGAAATTCCCAAATTTTCATATTCATTTTCAGAACTCAGAACTTATCACCGACAGAAGGAAAAGGATCATCTGAGAGAGAGATAGGAAGGAAGGAGTTGAGGAATTTTGTGTTCTGAATATTGACCGACGGTGGCGACGGACACGGACTCCGACGGAGGAGAGACGCGCAACAGTCGTCTCCAGGTGTTCCTCTCGTCGCTGTTTTCGACTATTGGAGGCGTTTTCGGGAATAACCTTCAAGAGCGGGACGCAGACATGGCTACGGGAGCTTATTTGCCAAATGAACTGCAAAGGGGTATGCGATCTTCTTCGGCTCTTCTTTGAGATTTTATGCAATCTGTTCTTCAACTTCTTTTTTCATGACTTTCTTAGGGTTTTATGACTTCAAATTTTTACTTTCATTTCAAACTAGAAAGCATACTCCTCGACGAGTCTTGTTAAAGTTTCTAGTGCATCTTTTTGCGTGTATCTTTCTGAAAATCAGGGCAAAAAATATTTCTGAAAGGAAAAGCGTTTTGTAGGTGAAAATAAGCCGAAGAATGTAGCAGCAGAAGGACGGAATCGACGTGTTCTCCAGGATATTGGGAATCTTGTGTATGTTTCTAAGCGCATCACAAGGTTTTGTTCTGTCGTTTTCTTATTTCGCTTCGCAAACCCATGTTTTTTAGTTATTAGTTAATAATAGTTTAATTGTTCTTGTTTGTCTTACAGGCAAGAAGCAGACAAGAACAAGGTGAGATATATATATATATATATATATATATTATTTTGTATTAATGATTAATAATTTTGGAAAGAAATAAACTTTTTTTTTATTTGTGTATCATATTCCAGAAACCAAGCTTTGCAACAACAAAAATATTAGCAGCAGGGAAGACTGTTCACCCAGAAGAACGTGAAGTTATTATAATTAGCTCTGATGAAGAAAGTGAGGAAGGAAAGGAGAAGGAGAAGGAGAAGGAACCAGGTAAAGCAAGGAATACAAGACAGCACTCAGCTAAGAAGAATGTGAAGACCCTCAGTGCAATCCTCTCTGCTCGAAGCAAGGTATTTCATTTCTTCTTCCTCATCCAAAGCTTCTCTGTTTCAGAACACAAATCTTGTCGTACTGTGGATCTGTGATATTGATATCTCAGAGTGGTGTGATAAATTTAAATGACTGATGAATCTCAGGCTGCTTGTGGACGTACTTACAAGCAAAAGGACCACGTGGTAGACGTTGATGCAGCCGACATTGACAATGAATTGGCAGCTGTTGAGTACATTGACGAACTCTACAAGTTCTACAAATTTGCAGAAGTAATAATCAATGTTCAATGTATTCGTATAATAATGCAACCCTTGACTCTGTCTCTCTTTGATTCAATTAACGTTTGATTTTTGTGAACCCCAGGATGATAGCCGTGTGCATGATTACTTGGGATCGCAGCCTGATGTGAATGCCAAGATGAGAGCAATCCTTGTGGACTGGTTGATAGAAGTACATCGTAAATTTGAACTCATGCCTGAAACTCTTCATCTGACAATAAACATTGTGGATCGCTTCCTTTCCATGAAGGTTGTGTCCAGAAAGGAGCTTCAGCTGGTTGGCATCAGCTCCATGCTCTTAGCCTGCAAATATGAGGAGATTTGGGCTCCAGAGGTACACTTCATTGCAACTACACTGGTGTTTGACTCAATTTATAGCTTCTTAATTGGAATTTCATATATAAAGTATCTGAAAAAGCACCACATATTGCTCATTTGTGTTGTGTAATCTAAACTATCAAAGACATGTTTGCTAATATAAGACTTGAGCAGAAACATGATAATTCATATCATATCTTTAGTCTCTAAACATGATGACATGATGGTAATTTTATACAATTCATTGCATCTAGGTTGATGTTTTACTCAATTTATAGCTTCTTAATTGCAATTTCATGTGTGTGTATATGTATAAAGTAACTGAAAAGGCACCACATATTGCTCAGTTGTGTTGTGTAATCAAAGGTAACTGAAAAAGTACCACATATTGCTCATTTGTGTTGTGTAATCTAAAGTGTCCCAGACACGTTTGATAAGGAGAGTTGAATAGAAACATGATAATTCATATCATATCTTTAGTCTCTAAACATGATGTATGTATGTATATATGCGTATAAAGTAACTGAAAAAGCACTACATATTGCTCAGTTGTGTTGTTTCTAAAGCATCAGACATGTATGATATGAGAGTGACTAAAGTAACTGATGTTTTTGCATAATAATGCAGGTGAATGACTTTGTGTGCATATCAGACAACGCCTATAAAAGAGAACAGATTCTGGTGATGGAGAAGACAATCTTGAGGAAGCTGGAATGGTATTTAACTGTTCCTACACCATATGTCTTCCTTGTTCGTTATATCAAAGCCTCTTCTCCCACTGATAAGGAGGTATGTTATTATATTGTTCATTTTGGCTGATCTAAAAGATATTCCAAGTGCCAAATCTTTGTCTTCATTAGTGTTCAACAATTTTTCTTTCTGGCAATGAATTTTTTTATAGATGGAGAACATGGCGCATTTCCTGGCAGAACTGAGCTTAATTCACTATGCCACAGTAATGTTGTATAGCCCTTCTGTTGTTGCTGCTTCTGCTGTGTATGCTGCTCGGTGCACACTTGATAGGAGCCCTTTCTGGACTGAGACTTTAAAACATTACACAGGCTTTTCTGAGGACCAACTAAGGTAGTTACAGTTATTATTATTATTATTTTTTTTTTGGTTTCAGAACACACACACACACACACACCCACCCACACGAAGAGATATATGATTAATGAGCATGTAGCAATGATGTGGCAAACTCATGGTGGTGTAGGGAATGTGCCAAGCTCATGGTGAGCTTTCACTCACTGGCTGGTGAAAGCAAGTTGAAAGCAGTGTACAAAAAATTCTGCAATCCAGATCGCTGTGCAGTTGCTCTTCTTCCCCCAGCAAGAAGCTTGTTAATTCCACATGAACAGATTTGATATTTTAGCCTGGGAAATTTCTGAGAATATGATGGATATAGTAGTAATATGGTTTTTTTATGTAGTACAACATCAGTGTTGTTTAGGAGGAGGATCATGTCTGTAATGATCACTAGGTTTCTTGGTTTGGATTTTGCTGTGTGAAAGAAACTGCAGTATTTGGTTTCTGGATAATTGTTGCCAGAATGAAGGAGAAACGGATATGCTTTTCTCCATTGCATTACGCTAATGAATTTCATTGATATGTGTAATTTTGTCCCAAAAAGAGGTTTACAAATTGAAATGAACGGAGTATTAAAATTATCGTTAAAATCGACAACTATATAACAATAATTTAAAAATAAATTAAGATGGAATTTCATAAAATTATAATTACAATGTGACCGGAATTCCATGTACCCCAGTGGCACCTGTAAGTGGCCTGTACCTGCATGTGAAAAAAAAAAAGGCTTAGCTTATAGGATTTATGGAATTCTCCAAGTATAAAACGATTTGAACTTTTTTTAATCCAGATCATACATATAAGGAAATGTAATTTAATATTTTATCTTGATTAAAAATAAAAGACAAAAGTTCACATTTAGTATTCAAATTCGATATAAAATTTTAATTTAATCTTTTAAATTTTAAAGATAAAAGATTAATTTTTAATCTTAATTCAAATAATTTTTGCTATCGATAATTGTATTTACAAAAAATTAATTTTGATATCAACATTTAAGAGTTTTGCTATTACGCACTGTTTCATTAATAGCAAGAGACAAATTAAAAAACTCATTTAAAATGGAGCCAATATCACCATAAACCAAAACATGCAAGTTTACACTCCAAAAGGGATAGAACTAAAGCTAAATGACTCTTCCGATTGGTTAGGTTAGATACAAATAGCTTCGTTAATTCTTTTGGTACAATTTTTTATGGCGGTCTCATACGGAGCAAACAAGGCAATTGAAACAAAAGTTTTTTTAAATATATTAAATATTTTAAATATAGTTAATGAGTTCATGGGTAGTTTGAGAGGACTCAACATTTGTTGAGTAAAAAAGTTTAACAAATTTAATAATACTTTGACTCAATTGAAACTCTCTCATTAATTCATAATGAGTTCTACTAATTACTTATTTTTTATTATTATTAATGAAATTAGAAATTTTATTATGTAAAATTAGACTGTTACTTTTGATTATGTACCCATCAAATCTCTATCAATAATTTTAATATATTTATTTTTGACATTGCCCCTTTTAATTATAAGAATTTTTTGTACTGACATGATTCAGCATGTCATGTCAGTTAGCACAGTCTTTTCACGGGCTTCCATTCAAAAAAAAAAAAAAAAAAAAGAACATGCAAGTTTACCAAGCCGACGGAAAATTTTTGAAACGGCAGTAGTGTCTGCGAAGCGAAACTCGCGCCGAGGGGAAATACCGGAAGAGCCAACACCCCCACAGAGACGATCGATTTCTCTCCGATTTGAACACACGCAGAGACACTAGCCAATTTTCCATGTTCGTTAGCCATGTTCTCAAGAAAAATCCTCTAACCTCAATATTTTCTTCCCCCATCAAAATCCAATTCCTCTCATTCTGTAGTGCCTCCTCCTCGCTTTGCAATGTTCAGATTCAGATTGACCCAAATCTTCTCGAACTCTGCTCTCTCTCCCACAACCTACCCCAAATCAAGCAAGTTCACGCCTTTGGGATTCTCACTAGCTTCCTCCCCGCTAGTGTCTCTCTCGCTGCTTCCCTCATTCTTCAATACGCCTCATATGGAGATTCCAGAACTTATCGGTTTCTTTTTCAGCAAACTGTGGGGCTATGTCGCAATGCTTTCTTCTGGAACACCCTTGTACGGGCTAACTCCATTGCTGGTGTTCGCGATGAGTTGAGGACCTATAACCAGATGGTTCGTTCAGGCATTCGACCTGATGGACATACCTTCCCTTTTGTTCTGAAGGAGTGTTCGGATTTTTCGGAGCTTCAAAAGGGTATGGAGGTTCATGGTGTTGCGTTTAAGCTGGGTTTTGATGGGGATGTTTTCGTTGGTAATACCCTTATGCTGTTATATGGTAATTGTGCACATATAATTGATGCAAAGAGGGTGTTCGATGAAATGTGTGAGAAGGATAAGGTATCGTGGAATACCATAATAGGTTTGTCTTCTCTTAATGGTTTTAACGCGGAGGCACTTGAGTACTTTAAAGGAATGAGTATGATGTCTGGCTTTAAACCGGATTTGGTTAGCATAGTCAGTGTCTTGCCAGTCTGCGCTGACACTGGAGATCAGATAATGGCAAGACTAGTGCACTGTTATGTTTTGAAGGTTGGTCTGTCGGGCCACGTAAAAATTGAGAATGCATTGATAGATGCTTATGGGAAATGTGGGAATGAAAAAGCTTCAAAGAAAGTGTTTGATGAGATGGTTGACAGAAATGAGGTTTCCTGGAATGCAATTATCACTAGTTTTACTTATACTGGGCGCAATATGAATGCCTTGGAAGCTTTAAGGTTGATGATTGATTCAGGAATGACACCAAACTCAATTGCCATTTCTAGTATGCTGCCAGTTTTAGGAGAATTAGGACTTTGTAAACTGGGAAAGGAAATTCATAGCTTTTGTTTAAGGATGGGGTTTGAATCTGATGTTTTCGTTGCTAACTCGTTGATAGATATGTATGCAAAAACAGGGTATCCAAGGATGGCATGCTCTGTCTTTCACAACATGGGTGTCAGAAACATCGTATCTTGGAATGCTATGATTGCAAACTTAACTCAGAACAGGTTGGAATTTGTAGCTTTAGACCTAGTAAAGAAAATGCAAACTTATGGTGAAATTCCCAACTCTGTAACCTTCACAAATATTCTTCCAGCTTGTGCAAGATTAAGTTTCCTGCACACTGGCAAGGAACTACATGCCAGGATAATTCGCGCTGGATATGCCTTTGATTTGTTTATTTCTAATGCTCTGACTGACATGTATTCAAAATGTGGGGGCTTAAGTCTTGCTCAAAATGTCTTTGACATATCTGTTAGAGATGAAGTTTCCTATAATATACTAATTATAGGCTACTCTCAGACGATTGATTGCTTGGAATCGCTAAATTTGTTTAAAGAAATGAGACTTTCAGGAATGAAGCCAGATAATGTTTCCTTCATGGGTGTAATATCAGCCTGTGCAAACCTGGCTGCAATAAAGCAAGGCAAAGAGATTCATGGCTTTCTCGTAAGGAAGCTTTTACACACTCATCTTTTTGCAGCAAATTCACTCTTGGACTTGTATACAAAATGTGGTCGAATAGATATTGCTTCTAAGATATTTGAATGTATTGAAAACAGAGATGTAGCTTCATGGAATACAATGATTTTGGGCTATGGAATGCTAGGTGAATTGGACACTGCAATTAACTACTTTGAGGCAATGAAGGAAGATGGTGTGGCATATGATTCAATTTCATTTATTGCAGTTTTATCAGCTTGTAGCCATGGTGGGCTACTTGAGAAGGGAAGGAAATACTTTATGGAGATGAAGGATCTTAATATCGAGCCAACACACATGCACTATGCTTGCATGGTTGATCTCCTTGGAAGGGCTGGTCTTATGGAAGAAGCAGCAAACCTTATTAGGGGACTCCCTATTGCACCAGATGCTAATATATGGGGTGCACTGCTTGGAGCATGCAGGATATATGGCAATGTAGAATTGGGACGTTGGGCTGCTGAACATTTGTTTGAGTTAAAGCCTCAGCATTGCGGGTATTATATACTTCTTTCAAATATGTATGCAGAAGCTGAAAGATGGGAGGAGGCTGACAGAGTTCGGCAGTTGATGAAATCAAGGGGAGCGAGGAAGAATCCTGGTTGTAGCTGGGTTCAAATTGGAGACCAGGTGCATGCATTTCTTGTTGGCGAGAAAATTGAGGGCTTAGATTCTGGCGTTTGGCTATCAGAATGTTGAATTTCCTGTTGTGGGGACTTGGATCCTTTCATTGTCTTGGTAAATTGACTGTTTAATGTTTCGTGTGAGAGAGAGAGAGAGAGAGACAGAGAGCTTGTGTGTAAAATTTAGATGCACATTGTAAAATCTACTGCTTAAGTGGATTATACAGAAAGGAATCTCTCTCTCTCACACAAAATTGATATGGTCAATTTTCTAAGAAATTGAGAAAGATCCAAATCTTTTGGCTTATTGCTGTGACCTCTCTGGAGCAATGTCTAAGAGATAGGATTGTATAGTTGAAGGCATCTGACCGTATTACTTTATACTCCTTCAGTCCTCTTTATAAATTATTTCTATTAATCTCATTAATATCAATATTCTTATATAACAAATTCAAAAGGTGGTGTTATATTACTTCTTTTCTTTCACAAAGAGTAATTTTAAAAATATTTTTTAAATATTATTTAAAAAGTCACACCGTAACTTAGAAATGAGAGTAAATAGATCTTTTAAAATTTGTCTTATAAATGAGACCGGAGGGAGTATTTTTTTTGGCCAAATAAACCACATTCTATTTACTGGCATGAAATTTTTCAAGACGTACGAGGCATGTATAGTAGTTGTAACATGGAACAGAACACAAGGCAAGCAGGGATTTTTGGTTTGATTTCCTTTAATTAATCGTTAGTGATGCATGCTTCATCTCAACAAGTCGAGGCTTTTTGTTGGATGGTGAAATATGTAATCTTCAAATTTGATTTAAATGGTTCGGATTTATTTTTTATTTATATTTTTATATAATGAAATAAAAATTTTAAAAGGATATAAAAATAAAATAATATTAAATTTGCATTGTTCAGTTTTAATTTGGACAATTCAGGTGATAATCACTCACTCAAACCTTATTTTGAGCATTCTTTCCTTTGTTGACAAATGGACTTTTAAGCGTCATATTATCATTTGCATCATAATTTAAATTATTTTATACTTTGAAATAGAGGGTTGTCTACGATGTAAAGGAAGAAAAATATGGCCAACTCGCTTTTTCACCCATTTACATACATACCCATAGAACGTTTTCAAAAATGCAGTTAACAACGTTACGCTTATCATAACATAAAGTGCATTATTTGAAGTCCATCTAAACTTCTGATTCTTTAGGTTATTTAAGTTCGAGAAAGATTTGCCCATTTTGATATTTTCAGAATATACTCGAGCTCGGAGATCACACGAAAGTTAGACAGCAATATTCACCTGCTTCACGAGTTTAATTCAAATCTGTTTTGGCTTGTCATGTTGCTGAAAGATTATTTTCTTTAGAATGCACTATCCTTTGCATGATATTCCTCAGTTTCCTGTATCCTAAAGATCTTGCCAATGCAGACACTTGGGGAAAAAAAAAACTGAAAATACTTCTATCACGTTGCACACCAAAATTTATAATGGATTATAAGAGGAGATAGAGTCGGTCAACAAACAAAATTAGGGGTCTAGAATGAGGCATTAGCGTCTGGCAGGGCAAGATTTCAGAGGTTCAGCAACTCAAGTATTATGCATCAAACTCTCTGTTACCAAGAAAATAATCATGTATCCAACTTACAAAGGAAGATGGTCAAGAGTATTCCTTTACTTACTACAAACTTTTCAAGCTGCTTTCTCAGGTTCTCTAGCTTCATCTTGCCCAAGATGCCTAAGATTCATACAGGCAGAAATTTTTAACTTTGTTACAAATGATAGTATACTGTTAATGGAAACATATGTAAAGCAAATTAAGATAGAACGGGGCAAAAAAAAAAAAAAAAAAAACTTAGAGCTACTCCTAGCTGCCACTAAATGCTACGATTTGTGACAGACCACAGCAGTGCATGAGGATTCCTGGTCTACAACCCACAAATTCAACTCTTCAAGCCATTTCTGAATTGATTCGAGTCCCATTTCAGTTGACCAATACACCAACTTTTTGTTCCCTAAATAAGATTTATTAACATTACCAGATCCAATCTTCACGCCATAAGTAGTCTCATCAAGTTTTTTACACTTTGCACCATTTTCTTCTAACAGGTTTGCCATAACATGCACAAAACTTGGCTTACCATGGGAAAGTGAAATTTTTCTGGCCAGATCCTCTACCATGGCTACGACTTTTGATACGAAGTTATTGTCCCACATTTTCTTAGCAGTATTTGAGCTTCTGGCATAAAAGAGTTCCAAGCTTGTTGCAAGAAAGAAATCATCGTTGGGATCCTTGGACTCTAAATCTAAAAATAGATCAGCACTGAGAAAAAGCATGTTCCCATCAACCACCCACGAGTTATACCCATTTTCCATAAATTTTTTAATTATATAAGCCTTTGCCAAAATGCTCTTGACGGCCTCAAACTGTGAACCTTGAGAAGTAAGCTTATACAATCCAACCGTTTTGACAAATTGGTCTATATTAATCACAGGATGTCCCCTCCTTGCCAGATCAAATAAGAAGTCAGACTCAGGGCCAAAAAGTATATAATTCCTGATATTTAACCTTTCAAAGTGACACAATAAATTTCTAGTTAGAGAATCTGAAATCTCACAAAGGTTCACCAAAAAGACACTGTCCTGATTCTTCAAATAGGGAAGCAAGAGTCCAAGTTCATCCATGTTCGTGACAACCCTTCCAGGGATTACTTCTCTGAAACAAAAATCAAACCATTTTAAACTACTCAACGGGTGCATTTCCAAAATATTGAAATCAAGAGATCTGTCATCTAGTAATTGAGAGTCAGGTCCAGCAGTTTTCCCATAGTTGACTCCAGGATCTCTGTGAGAAACACTCAAAGCTCTCTCATGCAAAAAGTTTGTGTAAATATTGAAGTAACCACGGGATTGAATAAATTTGATGAACCAAGGAGTCCATATTCTCTCTCCCATTTTTTTGTACCACCCTGTAGTTACCTGCACAAGGTTTTAGAACTGAAATTAGGTACAAACTGCTAACTTAACAAAGTTAGGCGGCCAACAAAACCAGAAATGGGATGAGAGGATAGTACAAAGAATTTTTAAAACATAATTAAGGTGAAGGTTTATGATTACCATCCCCTCAAGAAGTGGCCTTATGTCCTTTGCCTTGTTCTTGTCATACCACAACCTAAACTCTTTCCATGGCTTTGGAAAAAGAATTTGACCCCATGTGCCAACCAATTGATACAGGAAAAGTCTTGTCTCATCACCCAATTGCAATTTGTTTCCATGTTTACCTGAGTTGGAAACCAATGGTTATTAGTAAAACATGGGTAAATAAAAGTTATGAAAGTTTTAGTGATTAACAATAACCACAGTCCACAAATACAGTCTTGGAGCATATATATTTGCCTTGTTTCTCACTGACATGATATAATGTGAAGTGAGTTAAAAACTTTCGGGACTGAATTATGCACGGATAAAATTCAGGAACTAGATAGTGAGGCAAATGTTTTTTAAAAACTGAAAATCATATTTCCTAAGTACTTTTGTGATAAACCAACAGAAGAAAATTACCAGAGGAGAGAATAACGTAGTGAAGAAGAGGGAAGTCACAGAGTTATTCTTGCCAAGAGTTTGACCATTCTCTAGTTTGTAATAACCATAACCAATTTCAAAATAATACAAGGTGCAACCATGTGGAACTTCTTTTCGCTTCATAGATGTCTTCTACATCTACACAACAGCTAAGCCCCAAATCCTGAATACATCGTGAAGGGCATAGTCACACCCAACTAGAGGAGTTCCCTTACATTAAAACAATGCGTCCGTAATACCATGCTTTAACTTATTATGCTATGAGAATAACTTTTATTGATGCTCTGACTAAAGATCCAAACTAGGCCTGCTTGAGGGAACACCATAGACTACATGCGCTCCCATCTAATTACCCCTAGGATAATTATCAGGTTTGTCCAATAAGGAATTGAATCCAAAAACCTCAGAAGCAGTGAGCAATTAGTTAGTATAAATCTGATTGCTCACTTAAAAGAGAATCTATAGAAGTCATTTATATCATTATTGTCTCTACTTTTAACACAGACGATATCATCTATGAAGCTGCCATATTTTTGGAATATTTACCTTCAGCCGATTTCAACAAAACAAGTGAAGCATGCTTCTTAAGGTGAAAAAAATGAGATAATAGTACCTGGAACAAACCTTGGTCGTTGCAATGAAGCTCCATAAATTGATGGGCTATAATTCGAAGCATTGTAGTAGAAATTCACAATCAAGCTCTTAATGAACTCATAATAAAGCGGCGAAACCTCCAAATCATCTTCAACAATAAAAACAAACTCGTTATCAGAACTTGGCCACCACGCCTCCAACCACTGCGCCTGCAAACCTACATTGGTCGTCCGATAATGCACAAGCTTCTCACCGAATTTCCAATCAAACCCATCAACAAATTCCAAAATCCGATGCGATTCGCTTAGTTTTTGATCCAAAGTAGTAGACGACCCATTTTGGTGGGCGAAATGGTCGATGTAAACATGGAGGTGGACACGATCGCCAAGGTAATCGGCATTGGCCAGGGACAGGATGCACCGAGAGAGTGAATCGAGGCGGTTAAAGCCAAGAACTTTGACGATGAAAGAAAAATTGGTTAAACTGGGATTGTAGCTTTGAGCGTGGATGGGGTTAGAGACAGTCAAATTAGGGTTAAATTCAGAGGTTGAAGGTGGGAGAGAAGAGTGGTAGTAGGAGTAAAAGAAGAAAGCAGTGAGAGAGATGAGAACGAGAGGGAGGAAATGCCTTTTGGGTCCCACCATTGTTGTTAAGGTTTCATGGAAATTCAAATTACAAGATGGAAAGTGAAGGCTCTCTACCTTGCTGGTTGCCTGAGGGGGAGCTGATGTAGAAGAAGCCGAAGACGAAGATAAATCCTTGCCGATAGGCGATAGAGGATCTTTTTTTCTTTTTGACTGAAGAAATCGATAGAGGATCTTTGGCAAAATGTTCTGTGCTTCCTTCTATTTTTTTTAATACATATATATATATTCAAAATTTTCAAATATTTAAATTTAAGGAAAAAGAAAATGACTGAGATGCACCTGCAAAACAATTTTTGGAAAAAAAAAAAAATGATTGAGAATAGAAGAGAACGGCTTGCACATGCTGGTGAGACAGATTTAAACTTGTATGTGTAGTTGTGATCGGCGAAGAAGGACGTAGACCACGGAGCAATGGTCGGTGACGTTGAGGAGTATTCAGTCGAGTTCGACGGTGACGGCATTGGAGGTTTTTGTTAGGGTGGGTTCGACGAGTGTTGTGTGAAACTAGTGTTGCTGGTGTAGTTGTTGTCCTGAGGAGTTTGAAGACACTCTACATGTGATGAGACAGTGCCCTGAAGTTAAGGAAGTGTGGATGAAATTATTACGCCCTTC